CCGTTTCTGAAATATTTACAAATTTATGTAAAAAAATTACCTATGCAGGCTTGTATGTTATGTGTATTTCTGCTAACACTGTTAAGTATTTGTTATATCTGATGAAAGGAATTTGAAGAAGAGACTATAGCTTAACTTTTGGTAGCTCATATGTTGTCCTACTACATACAGGGTGTTCAAAAAAAGCTGCCAAATATTTATATAAGAAAAAGCGAAAAACTCAAAAAAATTAAATGGAAACCATATATTTTTTTAATTGTATCTGAATCTACATTAAAAATAAAGGTAACTTTATGTAAGGTTCCCTATATCTAACTATCGCCGTTTCTTTGTAATTTTCGTTTTAAATAGTTTAAGATTATTCAAAACAATTTTGTGTCAAAGACGGCCATGACTACCGAGAAACAAATGAAGGTAACACAAATGTCATTATATCATTTATAAAATTCACTATGCCCGCACGTTTAAATTATACTAATGAAGATTATCTAAATCTATTTATTATCTATGGAGAATGTAACAAAGTTTTAACAAGAACATGCGATACATTTGCTGCTCGATATCCGCAAAAACGGAAACCATCCCCGAATACCTTGAAACAAATAATTTATAACTTCAAGACACATGGTTCCGTAAAAGGAAAAGTTCTCAAAAAGAAGCCTATTGTAGATAATGAAAATGTGGAAATCGCTGTTTTAGGATATTTCAATGCATATCCGACAATATCTCTCAGACAAGTTTCAAAAGAATCTGGACTTTCCAAAAGCTCAATCCACAGAATTTTGAAAAAACATAAGTATCATCCGTATTCAATTTCCATAGTGCAACATTTAAGAGATACTGACTTCGCAAGAAGAGTGAATTTTTGTGAATTTATTTTAACTGAACACTATGGAAATAATCAATTTTTGGACAATATTATTTGGTCTGACGAGGCAAAATTTACCAAAAATGGTTTGTTTAATAGACATAATTCGCATTATTGGAGTGATTCTAATCCTCACAAATTTACGACGAGTAATTTTCAAGGAAGCTGGCAATTCAATGTCTACTGCGCTATAAGAAACGATAGAGTAGTAGCGTTGCATTTTTATGAGGAAAATCTAAATGGTAAATAATTAAGAAATAATTGGTATAACGAATAATTTACAATTAATTTTAATTGCTGCAATTAATTTTTTTCTAGGCGAAAGATATTTAAACATTTTACGAAATTTTGATACTAATTATTTAGAAAATTTACCTCTGGTTGAATTAACACAAATTTTTTACCAACACGATGGAGCGCCTCCGCACAACGGCTATTTAGTTAGCAATTTCCTCGAAAATATATTTAATGGCCAATGGATTGCTAATAATGGACCTTTCTTGTGGCCACCTAGATCACCTGATTTGTCGGTTTTAGATTACTTTATATGGGGTACTATCAAAAATCAAGTTTATAGCACGACATTGACCACTCAGGAAAATTGTATGGAAAGAGTGCGAAATGCGTTCAATAACTTAAATCCAGATTTTTTGAGAAAGGCTACCCATCAACAAGTCATCTTGCGATGCGAAAAATGTTTAGAAGTTCAAGGGAAAAATTTTGAACATTTATTAAAGTAGAGTTAGTTTTCTCATACTTAGTACGTTAAATACAAATTACTTAATACATAATTTGTCATACTTTCATTTGTTTCTCGGGAGATTGTTTAAAATGTTGAAGTTATGAATTATTTGTTTTAAGGTATTCGGGGATGGTTTCCGTTTTCGCGGATATCGAGCAGCAAATGTATCGCATGTTCTTGTTAAAACTTTGTTACATTCTCCATAAATAATAAATAGATTTAGATAATCTTCATTAGTATAATTTAAACGTGCGGGCATAGTGAATTTTATAAATGATATAATGACATTTGTGTTACCTTCATTTGTTTCTCGGTAGTCATGGCCGTCTTTGACACAAAATTGTTTTGAATAATCTTAAACTATTTAAAACGAAAATTACAAAGAAACGGCGATAGTTAGATATAGGGAACCTTACATAAAGTTACCTTTATTTTTAATGTAGATTCAGATACAATTAAAAAAATATATGGTTTCCATTTAATTTTTTTGAGTTTTTCGCTTTTTCTTATATAAATATTTGGCAGCTTTTTTTGAACACCCTGTATGTAGTAGGACAACATATGAGCTACCAAAAGTTAAGCTATAGTCTCTTCTTCAAATTCCTTTCATCAGATATAACAAATACTTAACAGTGTTAGCAGAAATACACATAACATACAAGCCTGCATAGGTAATTTTTTTACATAAATTTGTAAATATTTCAGAAACGGGTAAGAATTTTATATAAGATGTTTAAGTAAAAGTTAATTAAAATCGGACGTAGAATCTAAATATGTAATAATATATAGGTGGTTCCATTTAAAATAACGAAGTTGTTGTCTACTTCCGGTATAACCGGAAGTGCGACAATCTTGAAAATATTTTAGGTGAGTTGGGCATATCGACATAAGTGCACCTACAAATTTTCAGAAAGATACTACTCATAGTTTCTCCTATATCGATCGACGCAGTTCGTCGTGGGACATCCTGTACAGTGACTCCAAAAACTATTCGCTCACCATGCGTATTCGCACTATTAGTTTAATAAAAATAAAATAAATTACAATAGAAAAGATTTATTGTAATACAAATAGACGTTGTAATGTCCTTATAAGAAATTAACAAGAAAAGATTGATCTAACAATCAGTCAACAATAATAAAAAATAAAAAACAATTAAACTCAAATTTTTACACTCAAAAAGTATTCGCTCACTTAGGTTTAATAAAACAAATCAAATTATCTTTTAAATTTTAGTATTTGGTAGGGCCTCCATTTCGTTTAATGACTTCAGCTAATCGTCTTGGAAGTGATTCTACTAATCTATGTGTTGTATCCATAGATATTTTCTCCCACTCAGTAATCAAAGCTGCCTTTAGATCTTTTTGATTCTGAATTCTGTATTTTCTGATGTTCGTCTCCAGTAAACTCCACAAATTTTCAATAGGATTAATGTCAGGCGATTGTGGAAGGGTTTCAATCCATTTTGTAGTATTATAGAGTAACCACATTTTAGTATTCCAGGCTGTGTGCTTCGGATCGTTGTCTTGGGTAAATACATAATCGTGATTTAGCCCCATTTTTTCAGCACTGCTTCCAAGATTTGTTTTTAAAATGTTGATGTATTGCTTGTGATCCATGATTCCGTCAATGAAATGCATATTTCCAACACCTTTCGAGCTCATGCAGCCCCAGACTAGTACAGAACCTCCGTGTACTCCGTGTTTAAATGTAGGTCTCAAGTTTTTTTCTTCCAGTTCTTTATTCTTTTGCCGCCATATCATTCGCCGCCCGTCGGATCCATAAATGTTAAACTTACTGTCATCCGTAAATATTACTTTGTTCCAGAATTCATTTCTACTATTTTTATAGGTTTCAGCGAATAATTTTCTTTTTTGTTTATTAATTTTGCTTATAAATGGTTTTTTTCTGGCAACTCGACCATGATAACCAGCTGCATACAGAACGTTACGAATGGTATTTACGGATATAGATTTTCCAAATTCACTTTCAACTTCAATAGCAATTTTTGTTGCACTTTTATTAGGATCTTTTTTAATTTTGTTGACAACAATTCTCTTTTCTTTACAAGTGAGCGAGGACGACCAGTTCTGACAGCGTTGTTGAAACAATTATTTGAAGCAAATCTATCAATAATACTTTTTACGGTCGAATACGACCTTTTTACACATTTACCAATATCTCGAATAGATTTGCCTTCTTTACGTAGGCTTATAATAATTTTTCTAACTTCTATAGATGTTTCGCACTGTTTTCTACCCATTTTAATTTATTTTAAAAAAATATTCACTTGTTTTGAAAAAACGTCATTAACAAAGGGAATTGATCTATATTTTTTATTATTATTGTGAAATTGTTAGAACAATTTTTTCTTGCTAATTTCTTATAAAGACATTACAACGTCTATTTGTATTACAATAAATCTTTTTTTTTGTAATTTATTTTATTTTTATCAAACTAATAGTGCAAATACGCATGGTGAGCGAATAGTTTTTGGAGTCACTGTACATATTCTAGTAATAAAATTCTTGCAAATGAATCGATTTGAAATATGCAAGCGTTCTAATTTCTAATATAGTATCAATTTACCATGTCATATAGCTACATTCGAATTAAATCTTATCAGCGTTCAACTGTGTTAGGCGTCTACGCTAATCCGAATTATATCAACAATACTGTTTGCATTAAATTTGGGAATTGCATTGTACATTAGCGAATTTGATATTATAAGCGTGATGGAATTAGCGCCTGTATTAGCGATTGCTCGTTCGGTCGTGACGGGTGTGAAATTCAATAGCTTTGCAAGTCAATGATTTAACGATCATATTATGTATATAAATTTATTTTAAAAATAAATTTATAAAAAAACAATTTTTATGTATAACAAATGTTAATTAATTAATATATTAATTAAGATGTAAAAATCTGATGCTAATAAATTGAATGGTTATGAAAGTTTTAAGATTAGCCGTAAGAAGAAATTAATCTAGTAGATACATTAAATAATGAAATGCAATTAGAACAAGTAGCAGAGATATAGGGAGAAGAATAACACACTGTACTTCATGCTCTTCTAAGTTTCTCAACCTTCTAATCTCTTCTTTTTAATCCTCTCCCTATTCTTATGTCTCAAATTCTTCATAAAGTTTTCATAGATTATTGCAGTTTCTTGAGGATTGAATTCTGCTCCTCTTATTGCCATCACATCTTGCCTCTCTCTTTTATCTAGCTATAATAAGATAGGCAACCACTCTTTACCATGTGAAATCTATTAATCAATTATCTGATTGATATTAACATCGATATATTTACTGGAGTGAGTGCTTTGGACTAAAAAATGAGCCGGTCGACTCGACGACTTCCCCCACCCTTTAATGGCAAGAAGCTTCAGTTCCGTATGTAACATATAGGTGTTAACGTGTTGTTTAAGTGAATAAAGATTGCATTAAATACATTTTTTTATAAACTTTTTAATATTGTGTTTAAATTAGTGTATTATATAAATCTATAAAGATGGTAAATTCTTGTTCTGCATACGGATGTACAAATAGACAGTCAACAGGAAGTGGTTTACAATTTCATCGGTAAGTTACAATTTTTAGATTCAGGTTTGTGGTAATATTATAATATATGTATAAATGTTCCAGATTTCCATTAAATAAGCCTGGAGTTTTAAAAAAATGGATAAAGGAAGTACGCAGGAAAAATTTTAAGCCAACAAAGTATAGTTTTCTATGTAGTGATCATTTTCTTGCTACGGATTATCAAATACGACCAGGTGCCAGCAAGGGATGGCTAAAAGAAGATGCATTTCCTTCAGTGTTTAAAGGATTTCCAAATCACCTTCAAAAACCTCCTCCATCCAAAAGACGTTTATTGTCTAGAGTAATTGAGAAAGAGAAAAAGGTAAATACCATTTATATTAAAAATATGTTGAAAATTAAAATATGAATTAGTTTTGTTTTAATCTTTATAGGCTGATGATATTGAGAACATGCCAAGTACAAGTACTACACCCGACTTATCTGAGATATCTGAACAGGTAAAACTTTATTATCTATTATCGAAGAGATCACAAAATTATAAAATATTTTTCAGAATGCAATGCAATGTGATGTGGGT